CGGACCCTAGGCTCAAGATGACAGTCTAACCTTTGTCATCCTTGAGTGGGCTCCACCTTGCCTCTAGACTCTCCTTCAAGGAAACAATCCACTACCTTATCAGAAGGGAGTGGGCCGTACTTAGGGTGGGGCAGACTATACAGTCTGATTGCCCTAGATGGCTGATAACCCTCAGGGAGAATCACCTCTGACCTGCTTTCGTTGACCTCAGTGTACAGTCATTGACCACGTGTAGCAAGCAGTTGTCTTGGGTTTGGCATATGTTTGGGGGAGACAACTTGGGAGAAATCTTTCTGTATCCCACAGGGCAACATTTGCCCAAGGAAAAGGTACTGAGGGTAAGAAAGAAGGATGGAAACCGGAGACAAGGGATGGAAGAGGGATGGGTGGCAGCATATAGAAAGGATCACAATGGACGACTTGAAACAAAGTGAGCATGAGCCATGGACTAGAAACCCGGTGATCTGCTCTCTAAACCATCACCTCATTCACAAGAAAAAGAGAAACATCTCCACCTCCCCCTAAGAGTTGCCCTTCTGTCCACCGACCAAAAGAAATACAAATGCATTGATGGATTCCCGGGCCCTTTCATAATCCCACAGCCTGCCAAGGGCCAGTTACCCACTGATGGAGGGCACTGGTTACACATGAACCCTTTATCACAGACTCGAGGGCTCGTCACGCGCTCCCCTTGCCAGCCTCTCTGGGCTGGTGAGTTTTATGTGTCAACTTGGCGAGGCTCTAGAGCCCGGTGATCTAATCAAGCACAAATCACAGTGTCGCTGTCAAGGTGTTGTGTAGCTACGCTTAACATGGACAGTCAGTTGGGTTTGAGTCAAGGCGATCACCCTCTATCCTGCGGAAGGAAGGACCTCATCCAAGGAGGTGGAAGTCCTTGAGGGCAAAGTAATTGACCCTTGGCCCGTGGACACCCTTCAAGCCGGGAAGTCAACTCACCACCCTCTCCCACCCACCACCCACCACCCACCCCCCACCCGTGGCAGCTCAACTGTTAGCCAAACAATCGCTAGGACGACCAGGTGTGCAATCGCACAGGGAGGTGGGCACGCCTTAGAACAAACAACCACACCGCACAGAAAGGGCAGCTCTCACTCAGGACGGGTAAGGTCGGAGGAGGAGGGGAAGCACAGGGAGGACCCGGGAAGGAGGCCATTGGTACCTCGTGGGGACTGCAGACAACGCATGAATGAGCCGAGGTGCGGAATGTCTGTCAAGCTTCATCCAAATCACGATTTAAAAAGAAGAGGCAGGAGGAGCCAAACAACGGAGGCTTCTGGGAGAAGTTCTTCCCCCCAAACTGGATCATCAACTCCAGAGGGGAGTGCGTTTCCAGCCTTCTGACCTGCCCTAACATTTTGAACTTGCCAGCCGCCCCATCATCGCATGAGCTCTTTCCTTAAAATGAATCTCCACCGACGTAGACGTACTTTTAGATGAAGGCGTCTGGCCGGGTCCAGATGGATGGCCCAGGTGTCCCTACCCAAGACCAAAGTCACTGCTGTCAAGTCCAGTGCAGCCCACAGCCCCTCCATAGGACAAGGTAAAACTGCCCCTGTAGGTTTCCGAGATGGGAACTCTTGACAAGAGTCGGAAGCCCTTCGTTCCCTGAAGAGCGTTCAGTGGTTTTGAACTGCAGACCTTACGGATAGCAACCCAATGGCTAACCACTATGCCACCAGGCAGGGCTTCCATAATAATATAATAAACTTGAGGTGGGTGAAAAGAAATGGCTTCTCGGGATGTCAAAGGTAAGCCCTCTTTCTGTGGCTATTCTTGCCTGAAGATAGCAATGAGCATTCTCTCTCGCCCATTATCAGGGTTGCTAACGAAAGACTTTGGATAGGGGCGGGAGCTGCAGGGGTGGGTGTCCTAAGTGTCTGGCATCCTTGGGGGGCAAGTGGGAGCCCAGGGACGAGCTGGCCTGTTGTGGGGAGCAGAGTGAATGGAACAGGTAGGAGAGAGAAGAAACAATGGCTCACTGCACAAAGAACAATCATCATCATCATAAATCGTAAAAAACAAACAAAGGACAAGAATGTGGGCCGCGGAGTCAGACAGGCCTGGGTTTGACTCCCAGCCCCACCAATTACCAGCAACATGACCTCGGACAAATTACTTAACTAGCCAAGTGTTGGTTTCCTAATAATAGTATCCACATTCTAAGGTTGTTGGAAGGATCAAATTAGATAAGGCTTGTAAAAGCAGTTAGCTCCACACCAGCATGTGGTGATGGCTTAATAAGCAAGGGAACAGAACTAAAGATGGCATGCCAGTCTGCGCCCACAGCAGCCCCGGGCTCGGGGCTTCCCCTCCAAGACCGGTGGCGTAAAAATAAAACCAGACTCGCTACCATTGAGTCGATGCCAACTCACAGTGACGCTGTAGGACAGGGAAGAACTGTCCCTGTGGGTTTCCGAGACTGTAACTTTACGGGAGTAAAAAGCCCCACCTTTCTCCCCCCAGAGCGGCTGGTGGTTTTAAACTGCTGACCTTTCAGATCACAGTCCAAGAGGAAACCACTATGCCACACTGCTCCTTGGCAAAGGACAAGCAATGCAAAAATGCTGCCCCAAGTCCCTGCTCCTGTGCTCTTTGGGACTGGTGCCTGGGCAGCATTGCTCCTGAACGTTCTGCCCCGTGTGAGTCACCGGAACATTCTTCTGCCCCCTGTGAGTCACCGGGGCTGCTGTGGGTGGGGATGAGGTGCCAGTGGTCTCTCCCGCCGGCCTGCCCTGCCTGGCTCTGCCCAGTCTGTTGGTTCAGGGAGGAGAGATGCACCTTCGGGGTGGGGCTGTGCCACGCCTCTGGCTTGTCCCAGGAGCCCTGAGCACAGAGTTGGAGCCAAGTGTGGGTTTGTTGAATCACAGAGGAGCCCGAATCATTCCTGGGGCCTGAGTCAGAACTCGGAGAGGAAGCCTGATTCCCACGAGAGAACCCTGTGGATGCTCTTCAGGGAAGCTAGGGAGACGGAGTCACGGTCAGCTCATTCAATAACCCAGCCCGTCCAGCCGATCCCGCCTCACAGTGATCTTGTCTTATCTACACAGGGTTTCTGGGACTGGGCATTTTGCTGGGAGCAGGCACAACTTCTGCTTTCTCCAGGAGAGCAGCAGCTGGGTGGGAACTGTCAACCTTGCAGCCCACTGCTGACCCCCCATCTCACTCACTGCCCTCAAGTCCATGCTGACTCACAGCAACCCTACAGGACAGAGCAGAGCTGCCCCTTCTGGCTTTCTAAGACTATAACTCTTCATGGGAGTAGAAAGGCTCATGTTTCTCCTGAGGAGCGGCTGGTGGTTTTGAACTGCTAACCTTGTGGTTAGCGGCCCACTGTTGACTCACTACTAAAGCTTCTTACAATTATAAAAGGGGTTCTGATGGCGCTGTAACAATCATATGTATGACACACACACACATTCCTACATGCACGTATAGTTTACAAATCACGAGAAACTATATTTAAAGCATATTGTAAAGAGCAAAGAGTTATGTACACCTAATGGGCTTCTTTCTCTAAACCCAAAGGCAGAAATAGGCAGGAGAGGAGTCATCTCCAGGCTACAGTAGAGGAGACGGCAGCTATCAGAGAGGTTCTGAAAGTGGCCCAAGATCTCCCTGGACAGGAAGCTAGGTCTTCCAGCGCTGCATCACACCACCGGCCTGCGGGCAGGGAGAAGCAAAGCGAGCCTCAGGGAGCTGGAAGGGGCCAGGGGCCAGGTCCCCAGACCTCTTCTTGGTGACCTCATCCCCACCATCAGCTTCAGCCACCACCTGTGCCTCTCCAGGATCCATGATTCCAGAGCTCGAAATCCTACTTGCCTTCTGCACACTTTGTGCCAACTCCACAAGTTCAAAGCGGACAACCCCCTCCTCTCCGAGGCCACTCTGCACTCAGGAGGCTTCTTGGTGTCTCTTTCCCTCACCCCAGCCCTCACCTATCAGGTGCCAAGGCACGTTTACTTTCCTGCTAAAATCTCTCAAATCCATCCCTTCTCTGCCTCCCGTGGGGCGGGCCCAGTTCTCTAGCTAGTCACCCCCTCTCAGTCTCTCTCCTGACGTACGTCCTAGCAGCCAAGGGGCATCTAGCATAGATGCAAATCCGCATGGGTCTCTCTGCCTGGAGCCCTTAAACTCCTTCAACGGCTGCCCCCTCTCTGCCAGAGGGGAAGCCCCGTTCCTGTATGGTTCCTTCTGATAGGACGCCCATGAGTTTCCGAGGCTGTAACTCTTTCAGAAGTCGACAGCCCCATGTCCCCCCTCGGTGGAATGCTCTGCTTCGCTCTCATAACTGTTCAATAAGGGGCTTTGCAGTGGTCCCACAAGCACGGGGTGGTCATGGCTCGGCGTTGTTGCTTGAACCTCGCTTGTAGCTTTGTGTAGCCCCCTCCCTCTGGACAATCCCCACCATTCCCACCACCACCACCACCACGCCATCACCTCCTGTTCTGCAGCTCCTTCTTTAAGCCTCAGTTTAATTGCTAGTCTTTGGGGTGCCTCCCTGTTCTCCCTCTTCTCAGCCCTCAACATCCAACACGAGTGGTCAACGCGTCACCCTTTACCGGACGTGTGACAAGTGACACAGAGGTGTCCAAACTACTGGGAAAGCCAGGCAAGGAGCGCAGGGAAAACGCGGGTCCAACGGGAAGACCCTAACTGACTCATCAGTCCCTGCGGAGACGCCTCCGCGCCCAGGAGGCTAGAGGCGCTCAGGTCTCGGGCGCCGCCTATGGAGGCCGGGCCGCCACTGCAGGGCTTCGTCCTGAGCCCGCCTCCCTCCTCCCATTGGCTGCCTCCCTTCCTCCCGCCCCCTCGGGCTCAGCCATTTGACGCTTGCCGAGGGGTGGGGCTTGCGCCAGGGGTGGGGCTTGCGCCGGGGGTGGAGCGTGCGCCCGGATTGGCTCGGCGGCAGGCGGTGACGTGGCGCAGGAGGCCTGTTTGTGCTCCGGCGTGGCTCGGCCACGTCCGCTCGGGATTGGCGGTAGGCCGCCAAGGCGGGGCGTCCCGGGGCCTCCCGTGTAGAAGCGGAAGCGGAAGCGGAAGCGAGATGCAGGTGGCGGTACGGTGGCTGCGTAAACCCGGGGCTGGTCTGGGACCCCCCAGGCGGTGTCCAACCTGTGCCCCCGCTCCCCGTTCCCTCGGCCTTGCTGCGGGAGGCTCCTCCCCGCCCCCCGCTGCAGGCCCGCAGGGTGGCGGTTGGGGCGGAAATCAGTACGCGAGGGCCGTGTCCCCCGCGCTCACGCCCCTCTCCCCTCTGTCTCCCGTTAGGACCATCAGCACGTGCCCATCGACATCCAAACCAGCAAGCTGCTCGGTAGGAGGGGGTGCCCCCGTGCTGTCGGGGGGAGGCCTGGTTCTTTGCCCCCTGTCCCCAACAGCTGGGGGTCCTGACTCTTGAAGGTTGAGGCACCGACCACTAGCCAAGGCCCCCACCCGTGATCCGATCTGCCTCACTCAGAGGTGGGAAGGGACCAATGTGTATTGGACTTGCATTTCTGTTTTAGCAAAACTTGTGCCATCAAACCGTATGGTCCCAGTAGAGAGAGTGGTAAACAGCTTGCTGTAAAGACATCTAAGCGGCGACACACAGCGGGGACTCAAATCAGGCTGGCCCCGGTGTCCATATTATGCCAGAAGAAAACGTTCCCTCCTTTCTCATTACAAGCTTGTGTCTCCCTTGATGTGTTGAGGAACAGGGATATAGGCCCAGCTCAGAGGTCCTAAACCTTCCTCATGCTGAGACCCTTTCATGCAGTTCCTCATGTGGTGGTGACCCCCAACCATAACATTATTTTCATTGCTACTTCATCACTGTAATTTTGCTACTGTTATGAATCGGGCAACCCCTGAGGAAGGGTTGTGTGGCCCTCCAAGGGGTTGCGACCCACAGGTTAAGAACCACTGGCTCAGGTGGAAGGGAAGACTGGGCAAGCAGGCCCTCTCCCAGGTGTATCTGATCTGTGAGCCTCCTCGCAGTACAGAGAAGGGCATGCCCCTCGACTCATCCCGTTTCAGGTGTGTGCACACCTGCTACCATTTTTAAATGTTCATTGGCTTGATCTGATGCCAATCTCGTCCTAACGATGGGGTCTGGCTGTCTCTACTTGTTTCTAGTCCTCTGGTTTCTATGGAAATGTTCTTTCTGGAAACGTGGGAAGTACAGGGGAGGATCTGTAACTGACACTAGGGTGAGACCTTGTGCTGTTTTGACCGGTGGGCAGACTAAGTGAACTAGGGCCGAGGTGTCCAGTTGGAATTCAGCGCGGTGAGGGGCCTTTTGGTCTGCCCTGCGTATCGACTGCCAGTGAAGCACCTTGTGTGTCATTTCACGTGTCCCCAGCTCGTCGAGTGTGCTTCCTCCCGCACGGGCTCACAGTTGGCTACGTCAGGCACTGTTTTAGGCGCTTGGCATGGTGACGGCAAGGATCACTGATTTCTGGAGCCCTCACCATGTGCTAGGCACACTGGTGAGCGTGTTCCCTGCATCGCGCCTTGTACCCAGTATCTTCCTATCCCCGTTTAACATGTAGGGAAACAGAGGCAGAGAACAGCCGAGAGGCTTGCCCAAGAAACTTAGAGAATTAGAACCCAGAACCATTGGACCCCAAAGCCCAGCACTTAACTGTCTCCCACCAAGGAGCTGTGTGCATGGCTTGGCTCTCGGTCCACCCAGGCTTCCGGTAGGCGCTGTTGAGTTGTGACCCTGTGGGACAGAGTAGAACGATCCCCCAGAGGACTTTCTCATCTAGAACCTCCGGAAGCAGGTGGGTTTGGACCCCCTCCAGCCTTTTGATTTGAAACTAAGTGCTTACCGGCTACACCCCGGGGACTCCTTGGTCCTCCCAGGCCACCTACTGAAAACACACGCCAGGGCCCCGCCTCTGGGAGACCAGTCACCCTGATACTCTCCTGTGCCGGTGGCACTTCACAGTTAAGCCCACACCGGTGCTATCCCGTCCTCGGGGCGCTGGAGGTATTAGGGGCTTTAAGGATGTTGGTTCATCCGGTGCTTAGTCTAACCAGCTTGCATTTCCCATTGTCTTCCTTAATCCCAGCCCTGAGGAAGTGAAACTTGCAAGGCACCCTCTGTCAGCGAGAAAGATATAATTACCCACCGCAGCAAAAATATCATGGAGACTTTGGTGTCAAAAGTGGCACTTTCATGTCGGGACCAATTTAAGATGCGGGTTTGAGGTTTTAATCCCTGTGTCAAGGCCGTTGCTCCACACACACAAAAACCCGAGGAGGAAGTCATCCGGGTTGCTGAAGTCCGTTGGTCTCAAGCTTCCCCTTGGGTTTGTCTTGCCTGCCATCTTTTCCATGAGCCCCACTTAAAAACAAAACCCCTCATAGCCACGGAGCCCCTGGGCACTCCTGCCTGCCCTCTGGGGCAGGGGAGAAATGGCTGTGTAGGTTTCTGAGGCTCAACCGTGACAGGAGGACACGGTTTTCTCCCCCATGACCCTCACACGTTCGTTAAGCAGGCCTCCCAGCCCCGGTCTCGGCCCACTGCACGTGGATGAGTGCCAGATTTGGGTGCTGGGAGCAGGGTGCTGACAGGGGGCTGTCGGTGTGCAGACTGGCTGGTGGACAGAAGGCACTGCAACCTGAAATGGCAGAGTCTGGTGCTGACGATCCGAGAGAAGATCAACGCGGCCATCCAGGACATGCCGGAGAACGAAGAGATCGCCCGGCTGCTCTCGGGCTCGTGTGAGTGCTCTCTGGGGCTGCGTTGCTGGAGCCCCAGTTTCGGTGTTAGCTGCACCGGGGTAACCGCCCGAAAGAGATGGTTGTTTGCGGTATAGACAGTGGGGTGTCTTCCGGTGCGCCCTAGCAGAGTTTACTAGTAATAATGGACAGATAGTTCACACAGGTCCCCCACGACGGACCTCGGATCGGGTTCTCAAAGCTGTGCCTCTCGTTTGCCCTCCAGACATTCACTACTTCCACTGCCTGAGGATCGTGGACCTTCTCAAGGGCACCGAGGCCTCCACGAAGAATATTTTTGGCCGATACTCTTCACAGCGAATGAAGGCAAGTGGGGGCTGTGGGCTGGGACAGGCAGCTGGTGAGAGCCAGCCTGCGGGGCCAGAGCCTCGCTGGTCTCTGAGGACCCCGTGGGAGATGCCCTACAGAGACGGTTTCCAAACTTGTCCACACACCCCATTGGTGCCACAAGTTGACCCCGCCCCCTGGATTGAATATTCAGACCTGCTGCTCTGGGGAAATCACTTGTGGGCGCCCCCTGCCCTAAGCAGGTGGTCTGGCCAGCATCCTGGGCTGTAGGAGGACGCAAGGAGGACCCTTCAGTGTGAGGAGGAGTCGGGAGTGGCTCCTGGTAAGGGCCGAGCTGGGGTACTGGGTTCCTTTCCGGCTTACTTCCTGTTTCCGTTCTGGCTTAGGACTGGCAGGAGATCATTGCCCTGTATGAGAAGGACAACACCTACCTAGGTAAAGAGGCCCAGGCCTGAGGACCGCGGGGATCGGCGGGCCCGCTCACGGGAGGCACAGCGGTGTCTGGGACAGGCTGGAGCGTAGAGGTTGCCTGTTGAGAAGGGTCAGTCATGCCTGCCGAGAGCCTAGGGCCGAGGGGAGGGAGAGAGGCGAGAGGTAGGTCTGCGTGTGTATATGCAGTGCAGTGGATTGTCGCCCAAAGAGGCGTGGGTCTTCCTGGGCCCTCTCTCAGCCCCTGGAAGGGCTGGCTGGCTGGTGGTCGTCAGACTCACGTTTCCCAATAGTAGAAACCCTAACTAGCATGGCGTCCCAACCACCAGCTTAACCCTCAGCACCACCAGGACTCCTGCACCGAGCACTGGCGGTGCGGAAGCAGCTGTGCTCTGTGCTGTGGGATCCTTCCTCCCTTGCCCCTCGCGGCAAGTATCCCGGGCCCTGCACGTTATTGGGATGGGCAAGAGGTGACGGGGCTAGGCCAGGGACACCAGTAGTTGGCAGCGGTGTGTGCTGAGGCCCACTGGCCGGCCTGCCTGCGGACTGGGGTCGGTTGGCCTTCCGCAGTGGAGCTGGCGAGCCTTCTGGTGCGGAACGTCAACTATGAGATCCCCTCACTGAAGAAACAGATCGCCAGGTGCCAGCAGCTGCAGCAGGAGTACAGCCGCAAGGAGGAGGAGGGCCAGGCGGGGGCCGCGGAGCAGCGCGAGCAGTTCTTCCACTCCTGCAAGCAGTACGGCATCACGGTGAGCCGCGCGGGGGCCTCCTCGGGCTAATGCCGGCCGACCTGCTGGCCCAGGGCCTCTCCCATCCGTCGGACCCCACTGTCCACCTCGCAGCCCGGCCCTCCCGCCCTCTCTAGGGAGACAACGTCCGGAGAGAGCTGCTGGCCCTGGTGAAGGACCTGCCGAGTCAGCTGGCAGACGCTGGGGCAGCGGCCCGGGGCCTGGGCGAGGCCATCGACTTGTACCAGGCCTGCGTGGGCTTTGTGTGTGAGAGGTGATGAGGGCCGCAGTGTCTCACGCGCGGGAGGGGGCGGGTTAGCCGTCCCCCTTCTCCCCTTGGGTTTTCCCCCTTGTGGACATTTGAGCTTTATTTTACACGCTTCAACTCCGTGGGCGCCTGCCTGTTCAAACATGGCAGGGCTGGGGAGGTGGGGAGATCCCGGGGAGGAGATCCCATGAACTTTTCATTGCATTTTCCCACGGACTTCATGAAGCCCCACAGAGCAGGAGCTGCCAATGCTGAGATACGTGCAGACTCGAGGCAACTCAACCGTGTACGAATGGCGGACGGGGACCGAGCCCTCCGTGGTCGAGCGGCCCCACCTGGAGGCACCTCCGGAACAGGTGGCAGAAGATGCGGTAAGACGAGCTTTGTCGGGAGTCCCGAACACACACCCATGCCTGGATCCCGATTCCCCGAGGGAGAGGGTGGAGGGGGTATGAGAGACTGGTGGCAGGACCCAGCAGGCTGTGTCCCTGTTATCCTTCCTGACCTTCGGGACCCAGTGACAGAGGAAGCGCACCGTGCAGGGCCCGAAGTCACCCGAGCTCTGGTCAGGCAGGCAGGCTACCCTTCTGGGGGGAGCTTGGAGACCAGTGCCTTTGAACAGAGCCCCAGCAGGCAGAGAACCGCTCCCCACCCCAGCCCCACAGACCAACCCATTTCCTCCCTTGTAGATTGACTGGGGTGACTTTGGGGCAGAGGCCACTCCCAAAGGCACCGACTTTGGCATCCCTGCCGAGGCCGCTGGCATTGACTGGGGCATCTCACTAGACGCAGACACAAAGGTGAGGCTTTGGCTGCGGTCGGTTCTCTGAGAGCTCTCTGTGTAACGGCTACCGTGAGAAGCAGGTGTCTTGAAAGGCGTTATTTGAAGTTCATTCGTAGCTCTACAACCAAGTGTAGCCAGAGTTTCAAAAGGGACATCCTTGAACTTTGACCTCTTTTCTCCTGTGCTGGGGCACCGCAGGGGGCATGTGATCTCCCTCCCTCCCTGCCATCCGGTCGCTGCTGACTCAAGGTGACCCTATAGGATGTAGCAGAACTGCCCCTGTGCGTTTCCAAGACTGTTAACTCATTACTGAGGCAGAAAGCCCCATTTTTCTCCCACTGAGTGACTGGTGGCTTTGAACTGCTGGCCTTCCGGCTTGCAGCCCAACACAGAACCACTATGCCACCAGGGCTCCCTAGGCAAGTAAGAACTCTCCAGAGAGTGGCTGGGGGTGGCTACACTTGTGCGGGCCCACACCTCCCCCTTGGTCAGTAGGCTGTTGGAAAGGGAAGCCCTGGAACCTCTCAGGGGCTCGGGCTTAGCGGAGCAAGCCCTCTGCTGGGAAAAAATCCCCATCACTTCTTTGCTCTCCATCCAGGAAGCTGAGAGCGGTGGGATCGACTGGGGCGAAGATGCTGCTCTGGAGATCACAGTGCTGGAAGCCGGAATGGAGGGTGAGCGCATGTCCGGGAGCCTTGGCACTGGCAGCCAAGCGCAGCGCAGGGCCCAAGTGCAGCTTCGTGGACATGGAGCTGTGCGTTCTTCCCGTTTCCATGGGAATGTGAGCAAAGGAGGCCATGGCGAGGTTCTGCACATCAAGTCTCTGAATGTGGGGCCTCCCTCTGGGCCGGATTCCCCAGGGCCTGTACCAGACCCCGCTGTTCACCAGCACAGGGTGATTCGAGCCACTAGAGGGCAGTGCAGGATGAGACTTTACCTCCCAGCAGAGGGGAAAGCCACCCTTTCCACTCCGGGCCCTTCTCTGCAGTCCTGAGGGCTGGCAGCAGTGATCTGATCAGAGCTGAGACAGGCCAAGGGGGAACCCCTCCCCTAGTGCTCGGGATAAGACGTGGCTTTAGTGCAGTGGGCCTGAGCCCTTATTAACCCCCCAAATAGAAAACCAGACTCCGTGTCACCATGGTGTCCCTGTGGGACCGGGTAGCACTGCCCCTTTGGGTTTCCAAGGCTGTCAATCTCCAGAGGAAGAGAAAGCCTCACCTTTTCCTCTCTGCATGGTGGGTGGCTTTGAACTGCTGACTTTGCGCTTGGCAGCCCAGTGTGTAACCCGGTCCTCAAAGGTGACGTCTGCCTTCCCTCTTGGCCCGAGATCCGATTCCTTACCACTTCTCCCTCTCTCTTCCTGGCAGCTCCAGAAGGTGTTGCCCGGGGCTCTGATGCCCTGACTCTCCTCGAGTACCCCGAGACCCGGAATCAGTTCATCGATGAGCTCATGGAGGTACTGTCGTCCCCCAGAAGGCCTGAAGGGCACCCAGGGCTGGCAGCGCTCTGGAGCAAGGGCCTGGAGTGGGAGGGTGCCCCTTCATCCCTCGCCCCCTCTCCCCCTGCCAACAGATGCTCATTGGGCATCTGCTAGGGTGCCTGGCTGGTGTGGGCAGCAAGGTCAGCTGGGCACAGTGCAAAGGCCTTCCCTTCCTGGAGCTTCTGCCCTAGTGGGGAGGCAGCGATGGGATCATTCAGTAAATCACAGACTGCCCCAAGGCAGGGGGAGGTGAATCACAGACTGCCCCAAGGCAGGGGGAGGTGGGACGGGCTGCGGCCAGGCAGCGTTTCTCAACCCCTTTGGGGGTCCAACGACCCTTTCATAGGAGTCGCCTAAGACCATCGGAAAACACATAAATATTTCACAGTATATAATTACGTATTGTTTTATGATTAATCACTATGCTTTATGCTGAATTCTGTTCAATTTGTAACAATGAAAATACATCCTGCATGTCAGATATTTACATGACGATTCACAACAGTAGCAAAATGATAAGTGATGAAGTAGCAAGGAAAATAATTTGATGGTTGGGGTCACCCCCACATGAACTGTATTGAGAACTCCATAGAGAACCAATGCTCTATGGAGAGCAGCCTCCAGGCTGGGTGTACCCTGCCCACTGGAGGAAGAGGAGGCCAGTGGGGCTGGGCACTGTGGGAAAGCAGAGGAGTTCAGAAGGAGCCCTGGCAGCGCAGTGAGTCTGGCATTGGGCTGCTCACCTCAGGGTTGGTGGCTCAGACCCACCCGCGGCTCCTCGGGAGGAAGGGGAGGCTGTCTGCACCACAGAGATAGCCTCGGACACAAAGACACGGTCTCAAACCCTGCGTGCTTCCTGGGCAGAGGTTGGAGACGTGCTCAAAGTGCAGAGCGCCTGAGCTCTTCGCTCGGCGCGGAGCTGACGGGGATGTGGAGCAGAAGAGCCCCTCGTCTGCTCTGTGTTTGAAGGCCACCCCTGCGGCATAGACGCTGAGCTGCCTAGGCAGGAGCCAGAGCTCCAGGGTCTTGGTTGTGAAGCCGGGCCGCCCTTGGGTCAGCTCCCTTCCCGGTCATCTGCTGATGGGAAGGGCCTCCTGCAAGTTCTCAGCCGCCTCTCCAGTTGAGAGCGGCCCACTGGCCTCCAGGAGAGGAAGAGGAGGGCATCACGTGTTTCCGGTAGAGCCAGGTAGACACGCTTGGCAGCTGGTCCTCCAGCTCTTCAGCCTTGATCCGAGACTCTTCAAGCCCGGTTTCCTCATCCCTATTTCTCACTTAATCCCATGGAAAGAAAAGACCTTCCCTGGGGCCAGAGGGCCTTCACAGTGTCTGCTTTCTCGGTGTTCTGATCCACAGGCCCGCAGGGAGCCAGAGAGACACCCCAAGCTCCTCCCGCTTTGCAGCTGATGGGATTTGAGCAATGATTCCGAGGAAACAATCGCCTCTCAGTCGGGCTCTGACTACACACCCCAGTCCCGCCATGCCTGCTGTCTGAGCGGCTGCGTGTCAGTTTGCACTCCGTCCTTTCCTTCCTCAGCTCGAGCTCTTCCTGTCCCAGAGAGCAGCAGAGATGAGCGAGGAGGCGGACATCCTGTCGGTGAGCCAGTTCCAGCTGGCTCCTGCCATCCTGCAGGGCCAGACCAAGGACAAGATGGTTTCCATGGTGTCCGTGCTGCAGGATCTGATTGGCCGCCTCACCAGTGTTCGAATGCAGCACCTGTTTATGATCCTAGCCTCGCCCAGGTGCGGCTTTCCCCTGGACATTGGGCCGGCTGGGAACATCCCCCGTCTTTAGCCGCTCTGCCCCCCCCCCCACCCACGTGCTCCTCTTCCTGGCTCAGGGCCCCACCTGTCTCACCCTCCATTCTGAGGGGAAGGGTTCACTTTCAGGCCAGGGTGTTTTCACGCATGCAGGCAGAATTTTATTTCTCAAAGCAGGATGGGAAGCGGGGGATGCGTATGCTGTAGAAAACAGGGCTTGAAAGAAGTGGTGGCTGAGAGGCAATTGGCTGGGTGCTCCTCACAGGTATGTGGACCGGGTGACAGAGCTGCTCCAGCAGAAGCTGAAGCAGTCCCAGCTGCTGTCCCTGAAGAAGGAGCTGATGGTGCAGAAGCAGCAGGAAGCGCTCCAGGAGCGGGCTGCCCTGGAGCCCAAGCTGGACCTACTGCTCGAGAAGACCAGGGAGCTGCAGAAGCTGGTGAGGCGGGCAGGGGGCTCTGTCAAGTGGGGGAGAGCCGGGGTCCTGCAGGAGGAGGCCCATCGCCGCCTCCGTTCCCACCCGCTCGCTGCTGCTTTCAGATCGAAGCGGACATCTCCAGGAGGTACGGCGGCCGCCCCGTGAACCTGATGGGCACCTCTCTCTGACGCCCGCTCCTCCCGCCGCTGCTGCCAGCCCGCCGGTCTTCCCAGCCTCCTCGGGGTGACCAGATGTGGCGGGGCCCTTCCTGGCACGAGACGGGGCTGACGAGGGTGCAGAGCCCTGTGAAAGGACAGTCGTCCCCCAGGAGGAGGATGGGGAGGCTTGTCGCCTCAGCACTCACTGGGACAAGCTGTCTTGAAACCACCCCGAAACTAGTCAGGCCTAATAAAGAGGCGGCTGGCGCCACCGCTGACCCTGACTTGTCCCGCGGGACTGAGACTATGTCTTCGTGGGGTCCTTCACCCAGGTGGGCTCCTTCTGGGCTCTGCCAGCTCGCCTTGGGCCTACTCTCAGGTCATCAGCAAAGGGTGGGGCTACTGGGCCCCTCCGTCTCCACAGCCAGGCCTAGACACATCCACTCAGGCCAGCAGCCGGGGGAGGCCGTCCAGTGGGCAGCCAGCCTCATTGGGAACCAGCAAAGCTGCCTTTCCCCCATAATCACAGCTCACCTCTGGGCGGCAGCGAGGAGAGGGGGAGGGTCCGATCAACAAGGTGGAGGCGAGGGTGGTCACCTTCCCTCGCTGCCTGTCCATTTCCGACCCATAGCCGCCCACTCCGTGACGGGGTCTAGCCCACCCCAGGGCAGCACCCCTCTCCCAAGCCACCTACCCACCCCCATTTCCCAGGAAGGGCAGGGGCTGGGGGTGGCCAGCAATTCGATTTTAATTTCATAGCAGAGCAGTTGATTCATGGCTCTTTGTCGCCGGCGTTGACTCCCGTAATGACTTTCCATCAAAATGAAAAGTGGAGTGACACCACTCATTATTCCTGCTGCTTGTTATCTCAGTTCTGGGGAGGGCCGCCCCTCCCCGCTGCCTTTCAGCCGTCCCGGACAGTGAGTGATGGCCCCTATTAATCACCGACCCCGCGGACTCCGGCGGACACACGCTATCGAAGGAGAGGGAGATAAGGCAGCATGAACTGCTCGAAGCCGCTCCTATCAATTCTTGTCAGCCCATCGCTTCCCCGAGTCCTTGCCTGGTCACCTCCTTTTAGGGAATTGAGGCCTGAAACACGAGGTCTAGGAGTAGGGAAAGGAAAACCCCCGGTATTGACCGTCGCCGAGCTAAAACTCCCGAGTGGACGGGCAGAGAGTGGGAAAGGGCCTGAGTGAGTTGCTGTGCTGGCCTGGGAGCTGCTGCTCCTCCTCCGGGTCCCTTTCCCTCGGGGACAGTGTCTGCCCCCTTCAGCCCCACCTGTTCAGCCACCGGTTCCCACAGCTTGGCCAGCGCACTAAGGCATGCCACCCTTGCCCTCGCTCTGCCCCCAGCTAGTCCACAGCCTTGGTTGGTTTCAGGAACTGAGCTCAGGGAGAAGCCAGGCGGGCCACATGACCCTGGCAGGCTGGCTGGCTGGCTGGCTTCAGGTGGCAGCCTGCCCTCCCTGCTGCCCCTCCTTCCCATCCGTGCCCAGCAGCAGGCGGCAGGGATGTGGCTCAGACTCCCGGTGGGGGGTTGGCCCTGTTCCAGGCTTCCAGCAGGAAGAGAAGTGGGTTCCCGGCGGGTTTTCCCGGAGCATCCGGGCCCTTTGGTGGCAGCAGTGTGATTAGGGGACTGTTCTCTGGGGCCCGCCCTCCTGCTTCTCTGCTGAATCAAGGCCGGCCGGCCGGCCTGCCTTGACCCGGACGCTGACACAAAAGGTTGCTCCACAGTTTTTGACCCCGCAGCCAGCCGGGGTGGTGGTTCTCCAAAACATTTGGCTTCGTTTGCCCCCTGGGCCTTCCTGACCTCTCTTCAGATGCCAGAGACGCCTGCCCGGCTGTGTCATCACCTCCCAAGAGAGGGACCCTTCCTGGCCTGGCAGGTCCGTTTCCCAGTTTCCGCCTGATGGCATTTAAGCTCCAGAGCCACCTCCGAGGGGCGGGCGACAACTAAATGAGCTGATGCACACATGCAGAGCCCTGCCTGGTCTCGAGCCAGCCGTTGCTGGGGAAATGCCCACCTTTACCTTTACCTTTGCTTATTTAACGGAACGGTAAACTTTCGGAAAGTTTGGGAAACGATTAGGACCCTCCTTGCTGGTTTAACCTGAGTTCTTGGGAGGAGAGGTGCAAGGCTCCTTGAAGACCACCCGAAGGCTTCCTGGGCTGGAAGAAGAAAGGGCCGTCTGGTGGGTTTTTGGTTTTTTGTTGGGGGCATTGGGGGCTGCGTGGAGCAAGTGGCCAAGATCACACCTTTGCCTTCCGGCTCGGCTTTGACCGGACGGCCCCAAGCGCCCTCTCCTTTGACGCTTGCTTTTGCCTCCCCCTTTCTAAGAAGGACGCAAACAATGTTTCCCTGAGACTGGTCACTCCGGTCCAGCAAAGCACGCTGAATCCGCCGCTGCCCCACTGCCCATCTCTGTCCAGAAGAACCCGGCTCTGCATAAAACACGGTGTCCGTTCGAAGTGCAGCTCTAACAGTTGCCAAGAGTGGGATCCGTCTCCACTGCCGCCTGTGGCGACTGACTGCGTTCAGCCGAGGCAGGGCTACGAGAACACTGTTGATTCCCCGGCTGGGCCCGGTGGGCCTGGAAACCTCACCCCCATCTGAAGAACGGCGTTCTCCGCAGAGCTGGCCAGGAGCTGTGGTCCAAGACAGGACGGCGTGGGCCCATGCAGCCAAGGCTGCAGATACTCCCACGCCCTCCATTCCCTTGTTGCCCCAGAGGATGCCTCCTGCACGGTTTCTCCCATAGAAACCGGGCTCTGCCTTTTCCCACACACCTACCTGTCTGGTGCTCAGTATTGCTGATGCTTTTAGTTTGCACTTGCTCGTTCTCGGCCTCCCCACACCCGCACAGGCACGGTCGCTGCCTTTAAGCGGGTCCTAGACTCAAGGCAATCCCATGCACCGTGGAAGGAAATGCTGCCTGCTTGTGTCTCATCCCCGTGACCCACTGCACACACCCTCCTGAGCATCGGGTTTCAGTGAGTAGATTGCAGGCCTTTCTTGCTAGTCTGTCTGAGTCTGACAACTCCGGTGGAACCGGTTAGCATTCCTGGTGCCATGCAAGCCCACTCACCACCGGTGGGGGCTGTGAATGAGGTGCACCTGCTGGGAATCAGTACAGACTCCTGAATGAAGGGTGAGGATCCTGCCCCTGACCCACCAATGGGCTCCTATAGGCCAAAACCAAGCCAAACCCACTGCCACTGCAAGCTGGAGGGACAGGACCTGCAGGACAGGGGAGAACGGCTCCAGAGGGTTCCCATAACCCTTAGGGGAGCGGCGGAATGGGTTTGAACCAATGACCTCGTGACAAACAGCCCAGATGTATCCCATTGCCCCACCCGTGCTCCTGCACACGCACACAAGTCTAACCGGAAGACAAATGCATGTGCTCCAGACCTGGGCTGCCTGGGTCAGATCCTGGCTCTGGACAGCTTGTGTGACCTGGGGCAAATCCCTAGGCCTCTCTTGACCTCATTTCTCTCACTTACAAAATGAAGATACAGATGTTACCTACCTCAGGACAGGTAGCTGTGAGCAGTGTACCTTAGAACAAAGGGGCAGGAAGTTCAGTAGACACTCACAGGCTGGCTCCTGTGAGGGTGGCAGTGGAGAACTAGTTGTAGTGAAGGTAGAAGCTTGGGTGCTGTCCTGGCTCTATCGTCGCAGACATCCCAACGTCTGTATTAGTCTGGGTACTTCAGAGAAACAAATCCACAGAAACTCATGTAAAGAGAGAGTTTCATATAAAGGTTAAGTGTGCATCAAGAAAATATCCCAACCCAGTGCTGCCCAAGCCCACAAGTCCAACATTAACCCATATGTCCAACCCCAATCCACAAAGTCCTCCTCCATCTCACAAAACAGACGCAATGATGCCGACTGCAGGAGGAAAGCCAAGTCAGTGAATGTATACACATCTCAGTGCTGGCAGGGGTCTCCACATGGGTGCTCCAGCACCCAGGGCTGCATCAGGGTAGGTCCTTGTGGCTTCTCCTTGGGAATGTCTTGCAAGAAGTCAGCCTTGCAAGCTGAAGCAGGGAACTGCTAAGGCAGCTGCACCCTGGTGCAACCATCACAAAGCAAGAGACCCGAGAACTTGAAAGGCGAGGCTCACCGAGCCACTTATCCCTTCAGTCAATCCCACATGTGTTTACCGGCCAGGTTGGCACAATAAACGAACTACCTCAAAGTCCCAGGCTAAAGCTGTCGTTATCCCCGCCCCATGCCTGGTCCCTTTCTGATAGCCCAACCTTTTCCTTATCAATAGTCTCCCAGCCTCTTCGGGCTCTCCTCTCTAACCTACCTTCCCAGGATGCTCTGGTCACTGCTGTCCTAGCTTAGACATACCCCCACTTAGAAATATGGATTCCCCAGCTCCCCAAATTCCTAGTGTAGCAGGCCGGCCTCTTTCCAGACTGATACTCATCAGAGATTCCAAGCACACTTGTGTCTCTAAAGCCCTAAGTCCCTTCTTACCCTGGCTCCTGACCTTCCTGGGCCAGCTCAGAAAAGGCCCGAATACCATCTCAATGAACTTTTCTGTCCCTCAGCTCCCCCTTCCTCCACCGGTCCAAATCCATCACTTCCTCTCTGGACAGCATCTTCAAAGCCTAGTGCAAATACCCTTTTTTTAAAAAAAAGCACCCACTGTCTCAAGTCAATTCCAGCTCACAGTGACTGTGTAGAGGTTCTCAGGTTGTAAATCCTCAAGAGAGCAGGCTGCCTCATCTTTCTCCCATGGGGCAGCTGGTGGATCTGAACCACCAACAGGGCCACCAAGTGCTCCTTGCAAGTGTCCTTAGGAGAACTGGTATCCCGAGCAAGCCCTTCCTGACCACACGATGACGCCCTCCAAGGTGTCTGTCGCCGTCAGCTGAGCGTCAGGTGCAGAGAGTGTGGTCTCGCTTGGAGTCTCAGCTTCTCTGAGCTTTAAAACAAGCCAGAAACTAACCTCATGGCCACTGAGGAACTTCGGACACATGGCTGGCTACCTCTGGTGTTACAGAGTGGAACTGCTCCGGGATGTTTTCCTGGCTGTAATCTTTACCGAAGCAGATCACCTGATGACGGGATCGCCAGGCCTTTCCTTTTCCCAAATCACGTGCGCTACCCAGGGGCCTCTGACTTTCAGCGACTTCTCCAGCCTGGCTTTGACCTCTGACACACTAGGATCCTAGAACTCGAAAATTCGCAAGAAGGCAGGGTCCCACAAAGCCCTGGATGTTTGGCAAGAAAACCGGGCTTTGGTTGTCTTTTACGATGAACT